AAAATGTCAGGCAGGCAGGCCAGGCCAAACAAATAAGTTGGCAGGCACAGGCAGGCTTGGAATTCAGAGGCCTGCCATAGGCCGGCCAGGCCTGCAAAAATGCGGCCTGGTTGGACCTCTGCTAGGAACTAATACCTTCACCCTAAACATGAAACTTAAAATGAACGGAATAGATCATTCCGAGTTTTTCTACAAAAATGACATGTTGTTCATTATTGTTAAATGTATGAGATACTGTTTCCAAGTAGCCAAGTAGGGTACGTTTTTAGGTCTGTATATTTTATTAGAATTGAAAATTATGAAAAGTCAAAAAATTCTCACAGGAGAGATAGGTGAGAACATAAGGAGAAGAAGAATATAATTGAAAATATAGAAAAAGAAACAAAAATAATTCAGAATATAATAGATGATAGCTAGCTAATGGAAAATGTTTATTGTTATTAATGAAGCTTGATGGCAATATTCAATTGTCAGTATGACCTTGTGCCTGTGCTATATGTTCTACGAAGAAAAAAAATTTCGAATTAATTCACGACCACATCAAATATTAGAAAGGATACACGCAAAAGAATATGTGAATGAGAGAATGAAATATCAGAACATTTTGTTAATAATTTATCATCGAAATTCTATATTGGTATTACATACCTGACTTAAACATTCTATTCAAGTATTGCTCACACGTTGAGGACATAATGTGGGACCGTTTACAAAATTCGTCCAGTAGAATGCAAAATTTTTTACATTTTGTATTCGCACATATCGAAGGTTTTCTATCATATTTCATCTCCTAGATGTCCATTTTCAAGATTTTCTTATGCCGCTAATTCATTAGATATTTTCGATCAAAATAAAACAATTCAATGCTTACAAAACTTAAACACGTGAAGCGAGGTAAACATTATATGAAGAAAACAGGTACGACAGCATAACGTTTTTCATTAATTGATGATACATCATAACATGAGGAAAACTAATTGGCTCAAAACAAGGAAAAAATTTCTAAGTTTAATCATTTCTCAATATCATAAATGATTCTCTCTATATATGCCTGAATTCTTTTCAATCAATTGAGCAGTCTAAGATGGATCCGTCCCTCACCATAGGCACCGTTCGAGACAATACAGAAACTTAGGTGAGAGTGTAGAAGTGATTTACTTCTTTCCCAATACATTCACACCCAACTTCACTCATCCACGTCACCCAGTGTGCAATTGACAACTAGGCTATACCGTCACTCTGCATCTACTCACGGCGACAACGAACACTTCACACTAAAACAGAAACAAAGATTTTTACTTAAAGAAGAACTTCCTAAACAACAAATCATCTTTCTGACCTTCATCATAACTTCAGCAATAAACTCATTTGTCAATTAAGCACTCAGCACAAACAAAACAAAAACCTGCAAAAAGTACACAAGCCGCCCACTATTCAACAAAAGACATTCATCGAATCTTCAAGGAACCTACATCTGTCACGATGTCCTACATGAATCAACGAATTTCCATTCAGACATAAATAAATCATCATCGAGCACAAGAATCGCATCAACGATGATTTTATTCAAATACTTATACAACACTCGAAGTTAATGTTTTCCAATGCAACTATAACACAACAACACAGACAAAAAGAATTATTCTAACAAAGACTTTATTCAAATAGGTTGCCAGCGTTTGAAATTAATGCTTCAACCTAAAAGTATACTGCAACGCTAATGGGAAAAAGAACTACACTAATTATCATGTTATTCCAATACCTATACAGTGTTCAAAGTTAATGTCTTCTCCGACAACTATGCCCAAACAACAAAGAGACAAAGAATTACACTAAGGAAAACTTTATTCAAATACTTTACAGCACTCGAAGTTAATCTTTTCGTCTGGGGAGACACCTAAAAACCAAAGAGAAAAAGAATCACATTAATGAAGACCTTCTTCAAATACCTCTACAGGGTTCGAAGTGGGTGTGGGTATGGGTGTGGGGTGTGGGTGTGTGGGTGTCTGTGTCAGTGTAAGTGTTCTTGTCATCAATACCCACACCCACAGCGACACCCACACCCCCACACCCTATCTGTTCTCAAATACGGCTGAAGATAAGAGAAGAAAAGAAAATTCACAAGAAATAGCAAATCTATATAAGACACAATAATAAGTGATGAGATATATATAATAGTCTAAAAGTCATTTTGTGAAAGAAAACAATCTAAATATTTCCATAAAATTTTCACTAAATGGACATACTTTTTACCACAAATAATAGAGCGATCATTAATCATATTCATAAAAATAAAATTAAACAAACAATGTTTTGCATTATCAGCGTTAACTGCAATAAAGAATTACTAACTATTCCCAAACTATTGAAAAATTATATGGCAGTTTTCGTAACGAATTCTCAATGTTTATAGTTGAACATTATAGGACAAAATGAGTAACGACATATGCATCTATGGTATCAATTTCACAATAAATGACACTTCTCTGAAGAACTGATAGAGAAAAATATATTGAATGATGCCTTCGCATAATGTTCAAACGAATATTTTTTGATTTGTCATTTTCAAAATCACTCTAACACAATATGTCGAATGTGGATGGTGTGAGTGTGAAAGTAGGTATAAGTGAAGAGAAGATTAATGCTCACACTCACATTCACACCCTTAATTCAGAAGTAGTCCAGAGCTTCTGATACATTCTAAGAGATAAGGTATTCAAGACGAAAAGTTCATTTCTTAAGTACTCATCGTATTATGAATATTGAGAGACAATCTTCAAAAAGTACAACTTAAAAGTAGAACTATTTTGCCCAGAATGCTATAGTAGCGTAAATTGAAAAATACGTCATAACGATTGATTGTAATTGTTATCAAGTAATCCTGAAGAGCCATGTCAAAGTCCATCGAGTAGAATGAGATCAGTGTCAAAAAATCTCTCAAATGATTTTCTTATTGATGACCTCTCAATAACGTTAAAAGAAGTTATATTGCAAAATTCTATCTAACAAATAAATAGAAAGTTTTCATTCTCTCCATTTCAGTAAATTTCAATATGAATATATTCATCCGCAATGGATTCAATGAAAGCAATATGAACCTTGCAGTTGTATTTGTATAAATGTTCTTGTCGGAAGACGTTATTTCAAAGTGTGGGTGAATGTTGGTGTGGGGTGTAGAGGTCTGCGGTTCCAAAAATTACCTGGAACCGAACCGGGAACCGGAACCGCGGTTCTGGTCCCGGTTCCCAATCATTCAAAAACAACGGTTCCCTTTCGGTTCCAAAAATATTATATGGAACCGTCTAATTATTGAATTCTGGCTATAATTTTCAATAGATTGGGTATGGATCATGCTTGTTCATCTCGCTGACTAAAAATTCCTATTTCCGTCTCAAGCGCGATACACGGTTATGCATGACATGAGTTTCTTTTTCAATAGTCTCTTGAAAAAAACGTTGGTGTCATTGATCATATAAAAGGAACGGTTCCACGGTTCTTTTAGCGGTTCCTTGGCAATTTTTTCTACGGTTCCGGTGCGGATCCCGGTTTCAAAAAATCTTAGAAACCGGCTCCGGTTCGGTTCTCGGTTCCACATTTTGTGGAGCCGCAGAACTCTAGTTGGGTGTCAATGTTCTTTTCTTCTTTACCCGCATCCACCCTATTTCGTCTATCATATTTGCCTGTTGGATATTGGTTAATGTGATATTTACAACCGTGTTAATCTATTGACGTGTCTATAAATGTCTGAGACCTTATATTGAAGTGTAAAATAAACACATATTTCATTTTATTTTCCATCTCGAAATGATCCTTGCCCGTATTATTCAGCTTTTTTATTGGTCCCAACTTAATCACTGCCATTCGAGATAATATTAATCTTTTCTCTTCTTCGAATTCTTATTTCCATGAGATATGGATCAAAACTGGTCTTCATTTATTCATCAGTTTAGTGACCATTTCTGTAACATATGAATAGATTTATTTTCATTTAAAAACAACATGCTTTCGAATATGTTACCGATATTTCGGAGCTGATTGCCACCTGCTCATGTTACATCTTGATTACTATGCAATTTTTTTCATACTCATTCAAATGATCATCTTCTTATGCATCACATTGATTCACATGTCGATGAGTGAAAAATCAAGCAACACAAGCACATTTCACTACCCTTATCGAACCGATTTATATTCAACGATTTTTTATTATTCGAAGAATTTCATACAAGAAAGATTCAATCAAAGTCAAAATGATGGAAATGACTTGGTGATAACGATGACGAAGAAAATCAACGAAATAGCAAGCATGATTCGTATAAAAAAAAAGCAGAACTTCATCAACAACTCTCAGAGAATATTTCCGATCATTTTCTGATTAAGTACCCTTTCGAATATGCTTCTTCTAGGTTATTTTTAAATAGTTGAAATTGAAAAGTATATCGTTGCACATCGGGATGATCATCGGACAATCGTTTTCTAGCCGTACTAATCGTTAATTCATAATAATCGATGGCCATTTGAATTTCTCCTAAATGTGCATAAACTGCTGCCATGCAATAGTAGATTTCAGGTAATACAGGATTGCCATCTTTCTGTTTCCGTACTAGATCACGTGATTTTTCGAACATCTTCAAACTCATTGTCCAATTTTGTTGACGATAGTAGGATCTCGCAGTATTGAACAAGATATGAATCATGATTTCATCGATTTGTTCTTTAGTTATCAAATTAGAAGATTGATGTTCTGAATAAATAATATTCGCTTCGTTGAAATATTTAAATACTGCAGAAAAATTGTTCTGTCTTGAACAAATGATAGTTAAACTATTGATTAACTGAAGACGTTCAAGAATATCTGTTGGTGAAGTTTGTTGAAATTTTTCATTGAATTGTCGAATGAGATCATCATGATTCGTCATATGATCAAGGAGCATTTTTTCGGATGTGAATGATCGTTCAGATTCTTTATTTTTCAATTGATCCAATCGTACTAAATATTTTTCTAATTCAAAAGTACGATTACGTGTAGCCCAAATCTTCGCTTGTTCAATCGCTTTTTTCACATATTCCAGAGCTTTGACTATGTCTCCTTCTTTTTCGTAGATCAACGAAAAAAAATTATAGATAGTAGCTGCCATTTTCTGATGCTCGGCGGAACAAGCTAAGAGATTATTCAGTGCTTTTTCAGCCATTTTTAATGCTTTTCCCATGTTGCCTAAACGGTATTGCACAAGTCCAAGACCATATTGAAAAATCGAGACCAAAGAAAGATTTTCTTTGGCTTGTGAACGTAACACTATTCTTAAAGCTTTTTCTGCATGATATAAAGCTTCTGATAAAGTTCCTAATTCTAAATGAACAGTGGCGATCTGATGATGCGATGTAGCTAACGATTCATGATCTTCATGGAATATTTCACTATCGATTTCTAAGGCTTTCGTGTACATTTCTAATGCTGTTGAAAAATCTTTTTTTTCCAAATACGTTACTCCTAAATTATTATAGATAGCAGCTAGATCGGTGTGGGTTGCCACGGTGCCTTTGAGACATATTTCTAAGGCATACGTCAAATATTTTAAAGCATCATCATAAGCACCTAAATGAGAATAGATTTCACCAATATTATTATAGGCTGTGGCTAACGTTGGATGATATTTGTCGTATTTTAAAACATTTTCATCGATATCCAGAGCTTTTAAAAAATAATTCAATGCTAATCGATTATCGCCTTTGTTTCGGTAAGTGATGGCAATTTCATTATAGGTAAATGCTAATGATGTAGTCGGTGATTGCAGTTCGACTGCTATTAATAAGTGTTTCAATGCTAAATCAAGTTGTCCAAGATGACGATAAGCAGCACCAAGATGAACATAAGTATTGGCAATGTGATGTTGATTATATTGAATCGATGACTCTTGAGTCCAGAATTTTAATGCTCGTTCTTGAAACTCGAATGCTTTCTGATAATCTCCTCGATTGACATAAATAATACCCAGGCAATTTTGTATAATACCAAATGATGCCTTTGATTCTGGTGTGTATTCCAGTAGTATTTGAAAATATCTTTCAGCTCGATCATAATCACCCATACCGATTAAAGCAGAACCCAAATCACAGAGATTTCCATATCTTGAATATTGCTGATCCAATTGGCTACGAAGTTCATTCAAATCATCGTCATTTTCGACCATCATCATTTTAATAAACCAATGACCATCGGTTGCTCGTCGATCATCCACATCGAGAATGCGAAAAACTGAACCAACCGAAAACAATATTTCTTCTTCTTCAGGAAATTGACTCAAATGTTCAATGGAAGCAAATGGTCGTTTCGTCGCATGATGAGTTAGATGAACTTCGATTTCAAAGATAACTGATACGAATTCTGAATCTGTCGTAGTTGAACCCAAGAAGAACTTTGCCACTTCGTGGTTTTTCGTGGTAGAAAAAAATGTATTGATCGATATTATAAATCCAATATTGTTCTTGATTTGATCGAATTCTGGCATTCTCATAGATTGTCCTCTGTACACTACGAGTTTGTCATTTGGATATCTTGCATTGTTTATAAATTGTTCTGCATATAATTTTTGTAATTGATTATTAAGATCGACGAGAAAGAAATGAAAGATGAACATTAAATCAATATTTTCTTTTCGAAATGCTTGATTAAATAAACGATAAATAAATGAATCACCTGTATAAAACTTAAGAGCTTCACTCGATTGGTAAGTCTTACTAAATTTGTCTATTTTTCTTAGTTCACTGGCATTGTCTTTATAACATGTTCGACATTCATCTAACATGTCCTCTTTGGCTTGCTCATAACAAGGTGTTCGAATAAGAATATCGATTAATAACTGTAACCAGAGAAATCGAGCACTTTCTTTATTTAAATCTCGTACGGTTTTCTGGCTTTGTTCTCGATGAAAGCTACTGATCGGTAATGATGATGTTTCTTTCAATCGTTTATAATCGTGAGACAATTGAATTGCTAAACTTTTGAGATCAGAATATTGACCACACCATTTCGTATTTGAATCGTCTAAAGTGATCGTCAATCGTTGCTCCCGATCGAATACATACAGTGCCAAAATATTCGAAAGATGAGCGACTTCTTTGAATAGTGTTTTCGTCTCAGAATGTGATGAAACAAGAAAAATCTTGTTGTTAGCACAAGATGTTTGGATCATCTCGATACAATGTTGAATATCAAAAGAGAAATCTAAACGTGGAATAATCTTCGTGATCGATGTTGTATCCAAAGTGTCACTATCATTATTATCTTCTATCCAAAGAACCAAATATTCTTCGATTATTATTGGTTCTTGAATTAATAGTTTGGTTTTTTGTTTTTTCGGATGATTTATATGGGTAGATAACAAACCTCGTTCAAACATTTCGATATCTTTGAATATTTGCTGATCTGCATCGGGTAAATTTTGATTAATAATGGATCGTAATTTGGGATAATTAGTACTCGAATAAGAAACATTCTCTGGCAAGTTCGAATAAATATATATATAAAGAATTTGTGGTAGATCATGAATGAGCGGTATTAAATAACTGAATTCATCCGTCAAGGAAATGAAAACTTTTCGCTGTGAGAATGAAGTAATAAAATTAATACATTGATCCGGATCCCCGTATAGTTTATAGTTTTCTTTAACAAGAATTTGTTGATCTTTCGTGTGTGTTGTTTCATGAAGTGTAAGATTATCTCCAACATAAAACAGTTTGTCTAAGTGGATTTCAAAAAATTTCCCATGACTATCATCGAATTCAAGAAGTTCATGATTCGGCAAAGCAATTAACGAGCAGCCAGCCATGTTGAAAGTGAACAAATCTAACAAAGAAAATGCATGTAGACATACACTAAAATAGTTAATTTCGAATTTTGAAATTTGAAAAGTCAAACATTTTCATGAATTTAAAAAATAACAATAGACGCCACCATTTGGTGTGGGTTAAACGAGGAACTACACCCACACTCACATCCTACATGTAGGTAATATTCGGAGTACTAGGAGTAGATGAGTCATGAACACTTCACTAATGTCAAATCTGAAACTTGTGCTAGCATTTCACTAGCATTTGACGGCAATACAATGCAACAAGGAGCACGCACACCTTCTATTTCTTTCGCCGTACATGGTAGCCCAAAGTACCACCCGAAGAGCGCCACGTTAACATGTTTTTGTTAATACAGGCTTTCACGAGTACTTGGACATTTGAATTCAGATTCGAATTTTGACACTACTGGTTTAAATAGGCATAATACGATGCCGAGTTATAGAACCTACAATCTGCATCAGAGTATTATGGAATACTGAGAAGAAAGTATTTTATGTCTTAGGACTCGACTAAAATAAGAATTAATAGTCTGAATGAGTATCTAGGAGTTTTTTTCTGATTCAAGTTCATTGAAGATAGTTGAAATCGAACACTAAAAATCATTTATTACTGTGAGGAAGTCCTTTGAAGAAGCATCGCCATAAATGCTGAAGTCGACATGAAAAGTTCTCCATTATCATTTACATGATACAATTTTACAGTATAGTTAAGACCTATTTGGAAATTTCAGAAAATAGGATCTTTAAATCTTGAAAGATCTGTTGTTTTTCTACTTTCTCGTTTAATTTTCTTTGCTATCTTCTCTTCATATATAGATGCCAATGCTCACTTTTTATAATATTGAACAAGTGAAAAATAAATCTTACCGTAGAAAATGGAATCGTGAAGTGACAGCGAAAAGATTGATGGACGAATGAAATAAAAAATTCAACTTTTATTATTCGGTGCACACGAATTTCTCCTCTCGCTTTTTATAGACATCGTGTTTTTTCTTCAATCGAGACAAAAAAAATTACTTTTTCGTTCTCAAACTCTTCTCTCTTTTTTTTAGGTTTTTTTCTCAATCATCAGCAAGGCCATCAATTGATTTAAGCAAAAGAAACTCACTCGATTCTGTGAGCAGAAGTTGACATTCAAGATTGTTGCTATTCATCATTCAGTCAACATGAAAAACACTTGAAAACTGCCCTGAATGCACTTTTAATGAAAATCAATATTAAATTTCTTGTTCCATCGGACAATACTCTTCCATCTAATATATTCTGTTTTAAACATGAACAGTAATAACATCATCCTTTCAATAGTTTCTCGTTCAAAATGAACTTGCAGTAAGAAAAAGGTTGCAATCAACAACAAAGTATGATGCACAAAAATGCAACTCCATTATCCACTTTAACTGTGGCTATGAAAACAATCACTCGGTCTCATCGTATATTTCGTCTTTATATTATTATTGTACAATGGTAGATATTTTGAGAAATAAAAGAATTAAAGAATACGATTTATTTGAGAACAATTGCAATTATTCGAGAGTACAGAAACGAATTGATACTGAAAAGTATCTTTATTAAATGTGCATCGTGGGTGTGGAGTGAGTGCAAGATGTGAATGTTATTCTACTTTTGACACACTCACACCCACCCACATCTACACCTTACGAGTTCTCATCGGAAATGCTTTTGGTATGGTATAAAGTGTCAACAAAAACCGACTAGTTTTGGTTTAAATATGTAAAGTAAAAGATGATGATTGCTAAAGTAGTAGAATTTGTACATTGAATGCAGATTAAAATAGAGAAATTCGATAGAAGATTTCTTTTCTGATGATGTCAACACTGCTCTTCTTCATGGAACACTTAACTTCATTGGTTCTTTCAAAGTATTGTGTTTTTGTCAAAAGTCTTAAGCTGCAATGCGCATAAAAAACATAATGTCACATACTGCGATATCGAAAATTTTTCATCATTTTTGTAACTCTGATAAATTAATTTTTATTCGAAAAAGAAAATTGTCACATTGTTCGAAATTAAAAATTGGAATTTCAATGTCAGTAATATTTTCAATAATTTTTATAAACTTTTGATTACATTTTCAAACATAATTCAATAAGTTCCTTCGTTGTTGAAAAAGAATATAAACTACGATTGGATTATATCATTGAAACATATTGTCCTAGCACCCTTAGATAAAAATAATTATCTATAGAATACTTTCAGCTAAAAATGAAGATTATATTCCAATAACAATTATTTCATCTGTTAACGTTCGCGCTCACAAAGAGCGACGAACACAGTTAACGTGTGTGTGTGTGTTTTATTCTCTCTGTTTATTCTTTTACAAAACAAGAGTTTATATACGCACATGAAAAACATGGACAAANTTGATGATAACGAATGACGAAGAAAATCAATGAAATAGCAAGCATGATTCGTATAAAAAAGAACAGAACTTCATCGACGACTCTCGGAAGAATATTTCCGATCATTTTCTGATTAAGTACCGTTTCGAATATGCTTCTTCTAGGTTATTTTTAAATAGCTGAAATTGAAAAGTATATCGTTGCATATCGGGATGATCATCGGACAATCGTTTTCTAGTCATACTAATCGTTATTTCATAATAATCGATGGCCATTTGAATTTCTCCTAGATGTGCATAAACTGCTGCCATACAATAGTAGATTTCGGGTAACACAGGATTGTCATATTTCTGTTTCCGTACTAGATCACGTGATTTTTCGAACATCTTCAAACTCGTTGTCCAATTTTGTTGACGATAGTAAGATCTCGCAGTATTGAACAAGATATTAATCATGATTTCATCGACTTGTTCTTTAGTTATCAAATTAGAAGACTGATGTTCTGAATAAATAATATTCGCTTCGTTGAAATATTTAAATACTGCAGAAAAATTGTTCTGTCTTGAACAAATGGTAGTTAAATTATTGATTAACTGAAGACGTTCAAGAATATCTGTTGGTGAAGTTTGTTGAAATTTTTCATTGAATTGTCGAATGAGATCATCATGATTCGTCATATGATCAAGGGACATTTTTTCGAATGTGAATGATCTTTCAGATTCTTTATTTTTCAATTGATCCAATCGCGCTAAATATTTTTCTAATTCAAAAGTACGATTACGTGTAGCCGAAATCTTCGCTTGTTCAATCGCTTTTTTCACATATTCCAGAGCTTTGACTATGTCTCCTTCTTTTTCGTAGATCAACGAAAAAAAAATTATAGATAGTAGCTGTCATTTTCTGATGCTCGGCGGAACAAGCTAAGAGATTATTCAGTGCTTTTTCAGTCATTTTTAATGCTTTTCCCATGTTACCTAAATGGTATTGCACAAGCCCAAGACCATATTGAAAACTCGAGACCAAAGAAAGCTTTTCTTTGGCTTGTGAACGTAACACTATTCTTAAAGCTTTTTCTGCATGATATAAAGCTTCTGATACAGTTCCTAATTCTAAATGAACAATGGCGATCTGATGGTGGGATTTAGCTAACGATTCGAGATCGTCATGGAATATTTGACTATCGATTTCTAAAGCTTTCGTGTACATTTCTAATGCTTTTGTAAAATCTTTTTGTTTCCAAATACGTTACTCCTAAATTATGATAGATAGCAGCTAGATCGGTGTGGGTCGCCACGATACCTTTGAGACGTATTTCTAAGGCATGCGTCCAATAGTTTAAAGCATCATCATAAGCACCTAAATGAGAATAGATTTCACCAATATTATTGTAGGTCGTGGCTAACTCCGGATGATATTTGTCGCGTTTTAAAACATTTTCATAGATATCCAGAGCTTTTAAAAAATAATCCAATGCTAATCGAGTATTGTCTTTGTCTCGATAAGTGATGGCAATTCCATTATAGGCAAATGCTAATGATGTAGTCGGTGATCGCAGTTCGACTGCTATTAATAAGTGTTTCAATGCTAAATCAAGTTGTCCAAGATGATGATAAACAGCACCAAGATGTACATAAGTATTGGCAATGTGATGTTGATTATATTGAATCGATGACTCTTGAGTCCGGAATTTTAATGCTCGTTCTTGAAACTCAAATGCTTTCTGATAATCTCCTCGATTGGCATAAATAATACCCAGGAAATTTGGTATAAGACCAAATGATGCCTTTGATTCTGGTGTGTATTCCAGTAGCATTTGAAAATATCTTTCGGCTCGATCATAATCACTCATACCGATTAAAGCAGAACCCAAATCACAGAAATTTCCATATCTTGAATATTGCTGATTCAATTGACTGCGAAGTTCATTCAAATCATCATCATTTTCGACCATCATCATTTTAACAAACCAATGACCCTTGGTTGCTCGTCGATCATTCACATCGAGAATGCGAAAAACTGAACCAACCGAAAACAATATTTCTTCTTCTTCTTCAGGAAATTGACTCAAATGCTTAATGGAAGCAAATGGTCGTTTCATCGCATGATGAGTTAGATGAACTTCGATTTCAAAGATAACTGATACGAATTCTGAATCTGTCGTAGTTGAACCTAAGTAGAACTTTGCCATTTCGTGATTTTTTCGTGGTAGAAAAAAAATGTATTGATCGATATTATAAGTCCAATATTGTTCTTGATTTGATCGAATTCTGAAATTCTCATAGATTGTCCTCGGTACACTACGAGTTTGTCACTTGGATATCTTGCATTGTTTAAAAATTGTTCTGAATATAATTTTTGTAATTGATCATTAAAATCGATGAGAAAGAAATGAAAGATGAACATTAAATCAATATTTTCTGTTCGAAATGCTTGATTAAATAAACGATAAATAAATGCATCACCTGTATAAAACTTAAGAGCTTCACTCGATTGGTAAGTCTTGCTAAATTTGTCTATTTTTCTTAGTTCACTAGTATTGTCTTTATAATATGTTCGACATTCATCTAACATTTCCTCTTTGGCTTGCTCATAACAAAGTGTTCGAATAAGAATATCGATTAATAACTGTAACCAGAGAAATCGAACACTTTCTTTATTCAAATCTCCTACGGTTTTCTGGCTTTGTTCTCGATGAATGCTACTGATCGGTAATTATGATGTTTCTTTCAATCGTTTATAATCGTGAGACAATTGAATTGCTAAACTTTCGAGATCAGAATATTGGCCACAACATTTCGTGTTTAAATCGTCTAAAGTGATTGCCAGTCGTTGCTCCTGATCGAATACATAAAGTGCCAAAATATTCGAAAAATGAGCGACTTCTTTGAATAGTTTTTCCGTCTCAGAATGGGATGAAACAAGAAAAATCTTGTTGTTAGCACCAGATGCTTGGATCATATCGATTCAATGTTGAATATCAAAAGAGAAATCTAAACGTGGAATAATCTTCGTGATCGATGTTGTATCCAAAGTGTCACTATCATTATTATCTGCTATCCAAAGAACCAAATATTCTTCGATAATTATTGGTTCTTGAATTAATAGTTTGGTTTTTTGTTTTATCGGATGATTTACATGGCTAGATAGCAAACCTTGTTCAAACATTTCGATATCTTTCGATAATTGCTGATCTGCATCGGGTAAATTTTGATTAATAATGGATCGTAATTTGGGATAATTAGTACTCGAATAAGAAACATTCTCTGGCAAGTTCGAATAAATATATATATATACAGAATTTGTGGTGGATCATGAATGAGCGGTATTAAATAACTGAATTCATCCGTCAAGGAAATGAAAACTTTTCGTTGTGAGAATGAAGTAATAAAATTAATACATTGATCCGAATCCCCGTATAGTTTATAGTTTTCTTTAACAAGAATTTGTTGATCTTTCGTGTGTGTTGCTTCATGAAGTGTAAGATTATCTCCAACATAAAACTGTTTGTCTAAGTGGATTTCAAAAAATTTCCCATGACTATCATCGAATTCAAGAAGTTCATGATTCGACAAAGCAATTAACGAGCAGTCAGTCATGTTGAAAGCGTACAAATCTAACAAAGAAAATCCATGCAGACATACACTGAAATAGTTAATTTCGAATTTTGAAATTTCAAAAGTCAAACATTTTGATGAATTAAAAAAACAATGGGTGCCACCATAGGGTGTAGGTTAAACGAAGAACTACACCCTCACCCACACCCCACATGTTGGTAATATTCGGAGTACTGGAAGTAGATGAGTCGTGAACACTTCACTAGTGTCAAATCTGAAACTTGTGCTAGTATTTCACCAGCGTTTGATGGCAATACACTGCAACAAGGAGCACACACACCTTCTATTTCTTTCGCGGTACATGGTAACCCGAAGTACTACCCGAAGAGCGGCACGTTAACATGTTTTTGTTGATACAGGTTTTCACGAGTACTTGGACACTTGAATTCAAATTCGAATTTTGACACTACTGGTTTAAATAGGCATGATACGATGCCGAGTTATTGAGCCTACAATCTGCATCAGAGTATTATGGAATACTGAACAGAAAGTATTTTATGTCTTAGGACAAGACTAAAATAAGAATTAATAGCTTGAATGAGTATGTAGGAGTTTTTTCTGGTTCAAGTTCATTGAAGATAGTTGCAATCGAACACTAAAAATCAATTATTACTTTGAGGAGGTCCTTTGAAGAAGCATCACCATAAATGCTGAAGTCGACATAGAAGGTTCTCCATTATCATTTACATGGTACAATTTTACAGTATAGTTAAGCCCTTTTTGGAAATTTCAGAAAATAGGATCTTTAAATCTTGAAAGATCTGTTGTTTTTCTACTTTCTCGTTTAATCTTTTTCGCTATCTTTTCTTCATATATAGATGCCGATGCTCACTTATTATAATATTGAACAAGTGAAAAATAAATCTTACTATAGAAAATGGAATCGTGAAATGACAGCGAGAAGATCGATGGACGAATGAAATAAAAAATTCAACTTTTATTATTCGGTGCACACGGATTTCTCCTCTCGATTTTCATAGACATCATGTTTTTTCTTCAATCGAGGCAAAAAAAATTACTTTTTCGTTCTCAAACTCTTCTCTTTTTTTTTCGATTTTTTTTTCTGAATCATCAGCAAGACAATCAATTGATTTAAGCAAAAGAAACTCACTCGATTCTGAGAACAGAAATTGACATTCAAGATTGTTGTTATTCATTATTCAGTCGGCATAAAAAACAATTAAAAACTGTCCTGAATGCACTTTTGATGAAAATCAATATTAAACTTCTTGTTTCATCGGACAAGACTCTTCCATCTAATATATTCTGTTTTAAACACGAACAGTAATAACATCGTCCTTTCAATAGTTTCTCGTTCAAAATGAACTTGTAGTACGAAAAAGTTTGCAATCAACAACAAAGTATGATGCACAAAAACACAACTCCATTATCCACTTGCACTGTGGCTATGAAAATAGTCACTCGATCTCATCGTATATTTCGTCTTTATGTTATTATTGCACAATGGTAGATATTTTGAAAAAAAAAGAACTAAAGAATACGATGCATTCAGGAACAATTACAATTATTCGAGAGTACAGAAACGAATTGATACTGAAAAGTATCTTTATTAAATGTGCATCGTGGGTGCGGGATGTGAATGTTATTCTACTTTTGAGACACTCATACCCACACACATCTACACCTTACGAGATTTCATCGGAAATGTTTTTGGTATGGTATAAACTGTCAAAAAAAACCGACTAGTTTTGGTTTAAATATGTAAAGTAAAAGATGATGATTACTAAAGTAGTAGAATTTGTACATCGAATGCGAAGATTAAAATAGAGAAATTCGATAGAAGATTTCTTTTCTGATGATGTCAATACTGCTCTTCTTCATGGAACACTTAACTTCATTGGTTCTTTCAAAGTATTGTCTTTTTGTCAAAAGCCTTGAGCTGCAATACGGATAAAAAAAACACAATGTCACATACTGCGATATCGAAAATTTTTCATCATTTCTGTAACTCTGATAAATTAATTTTTATTCGAAAAAGAAAATTATCGGATTGTTCGAAATTAAAAATTGGAATTTCAATGTGAGTAATATTTTCAATAATTTTTATAAACTTCTGATTACATGTTCCCAACATAATTGAATAAGTCGTTTCGTTGTTGAAAAAGACTATAAACAACGATTGGATTATATCATTGAAACATATTGTCCTAGTACCCTTAGGTAAAAATATCTATAGAATACTTTCAGCTAAAAATGAAGATTATATTCCAATAACAATTATTTTATCCACTCGTTGTTCTTTTCTAAATTAGTGTAAATTTTCAGTATTTTCAAATAATCGACTTTTTAGAATAGTTAGGTTAGCATTAGCAACCAGAGATTAATATCGTGCCTAAAAGTCAGATGCGTACAGTGCGAAACATTGGTGAAGTCAACCATTACATCTAAAATCTTTTTGCTCAATGATCAAATCTAATGACAAGTAGGAATTTTTTGTTTATATCTGTTGTACTATAATATTGCTTGAAAAATAGTGTTTCATTTTCGACTACTTGATCAGGGCAACAATATAGATTTGAAAACGCTTCAAGCAGACAATAAAATGCATTCGATGAGCTTGGTGAGTAGTCGAAACTGTGCAATACATACTTCTTTTTCTCGTTTCGTTTCATTTTCGAGCCTTGAATAGCCATTGAATCTTCGAGTATTCGAAGTTTATCCCATCGAAGATCTAAGTTCGACTTCTCAACGACTTTTCGATCCGTCAATACTTATCGAAATTTCGAATAGTCGAACAAAAAAAGTACAATATTAAGGGTTCAAGCTAATTTTGGGATTGGTAAATTTTGTTTAAAACAAAAGAAATGAATGTAATATTCATTAGGCTATCTTAAACGAACATTTTATTAATTGCATTGTTTGCTAACCTTTGTCATTTGTTTTTTGGAAAAAATTGTATCAAAACATGAAAAACCAAGAGTAAAATCGTAAAAAATATTCCTATAAGTTATTTTTTAACCTTAACTGATTAATTTTCCTGAATTTTTTTCAAAAATATCCGCTGCTAAATTATCAACTTATGAATCCTAACAAACGCTATAAATTTAGCTTTAGAAAAAAAATTGTTTCGAGAAAAATGAATTTCAGAAATTTATATCAATAACAAAATAACTAAAACAAATTGTTTAATTTTCAATAAAACTACATATCTGAAATTAGATTTTAAAATTCTTTCAATAAAAAGCAATTTTAGAGAAAGAAGAACGATTCACAGTTAGTTTAGTTGTTCAATGACTTGTAAACGTAAGTATCCATGTTCTAATCTGGTTCTGTGCACTAATTCAATAGTTCTCAACCGGTTGAAACTATTCGAGTGATCGAAAAATCATTCATTTCTTGACCCATCACCGAGCCCTCGACGTATCGAAAAGTAAGAATCCGAGCTGCTTGATTTAAAGTTTCGATGGTTCGAGGTGCCTACCGAATGAATTATTTTTCTTCTTTATTTTCAAAAGTCTTAAAA